CTGCGGGTGGGTCCTGGGGTGGAGTTTGTCTAATTAGGGGGCGGGGCCTTCACGGGGCGGGGCCTCCTCGAGACACGGGGTCTAGGGAACTTGGGTGGAAGGTTGGGAAGGTGATCTTGAAAGACAAGGGCTGGGGGGCCTATGGGGCCCCCACGTTGGGGTGGGGGTTATGATTCTGTAAGGGTCTGAGCGATGCTCCTCCAACGCCCAAGAGGGAGGTTTGGGGGGAGAAATGACTGCTCCAGGTTCCCCATATCGGGGCTGGACAGTGAGGACATTCATTCACTCAACAAACGTTTACTGAGCTGTTTACTTGGGGGCCCAGTAGATGGGTAGGTGCTCCCCTGAAGCCTGCAGTCTAGCAGGGGAGAGAGACATTTAGGAGATTTATTGTGTTGTGTCTAGAAAGGAAATGAAGACGGAGTGCTGGGGAGGGGGCGGGGCCGCTAAATTTAGACGAGCAGTCAGCTGCCTGCCCAGGGCTTGTGTTTACTCCGGGGTCAGAGAGAGAAGCGGGAGCCAGGCCGCGATGGATAGTACTACCAGGGTTTGGGATTTTTTAAGTGCAGTTGGAGCCACGGGAGCGTTCTGAGTGGGAAAATGACTTGCTCTGCTTTCCATTTTTCAAAACGTCATTCGGGCTGCTTTGGTCAGGTGGGTAATAAGGGGCAGGCTAAGAGCAGAGGTTCCTTTCAGGAGGCTTTTTCAGTTGTCAAGGCAAGAAATGACTGGCGTTTAGCTGGAGTGGAGGGGAGACATGGCTGGATCGTGATATATTCTGGACCAGAGGAGAAGTCTCTTTAAAATATATATATATTTATATATACTTATATATATTTACATATATTTATATATATATATGTAATGTTTTTATTGATTTCAGAGAGAGGAAGGGAGAGGGGGAGAGAGAAACATCAATGACGAGAGAGTCATTGATTGGTTGCCTTCTGCAGCCCGGGCATGTTCCCTGACCCAGAATCCAACCGTGACCTCCTGGTTCATTGGTGGATGCTCAACCATTGAGCTACACTGGCTGGACCTGNTCATTGATTGGTTGCCGTCTGCAGCCTGGGCATGTTCCCTGACCCAGAATCCAACCGTGACCTCCTGGTTCATTGGTGGATGCTCAACCATTGAGCTACACTGGCTGGACCTGAGGGGAAGTCTTGATGGGGATAGAGCAGGACCTCAGGGGACCCAGAATGCTACAGAGGAGATGGAGGTTTTAAGTAAGTGGGACCGTGTCGGGGAGGCCTTGAGGCAGGGTCCACAGGCTCCTCTTTTCTTCCCCTACCCCCACCCGCCAGGTCCTGGTGCCTGATGACCGCAGCCCGGCCACGCCCCCGACTGACCTCATTGAGATCCAGGTGGTGAAGGTGACAGACACCACCCTGGTACCCGAGCCCCCGGAGCCAGGTTCTCTTCACTGTGCCTTGTGCCCAGCTGCCTTCCGGCTGGTCTCCGAGCTGCTGTTCCACGAACATGGCCACCTGGCGGGCGCCCAGGGCAGCGGGCAGGGCGCGGACCCAAGCCGGTGCCATGTGTGTGGCCACAGCTGCCCGGGCCCCGCCAGCCTCCGCGCCCACTACAGCCTGCACACCGGAGAGCGCCCTTACCGCTGCCCCCTCTGCCCCCGGGCCTTCAAGGCTCTGGCGCCCCTGCTGCGGCACCAGCACCGGCACGGGGTGGCACCGGGGACCCCTCCAAGGGCCCCGGACGTGGCAGCCGAGGCGGCTCGGGAACAGCGGCCCGAGGTGGTGATGGCGGCGGCGGCGGCCGGCGCGGCCGTGGGCAAGCCCTTCGCCTGCAGGTTCTGTGCCAAGCCGTTCCGCCGCTCCTCCGACATGCGCGACCACGAGCGCGTGCACACGGGCGAGCGGCCCTACCACTGCGCGGTGTGCGGCAAGGGCTTCACGCAGTCCTCGGTGCTGAGCGGCCACGCGCGCATCCACACCGGCGAGCGCCCCTTCCGCTGCGCGCTCTGCGACCGCACTTTCAACAACTCCTCCAACTTCCGCAAGCACCAGCGCACGCACTTCCACGGCCCGGGGCCGGGGCTCAGACCCTCCGGGAGCCCGCTGGCGGCGGGGGCCGAGGGACCGGGGAGCGGGGGCGCGGCGGGAAACACGCTAGAAGAGGGGCGCGGGCGGACGGCAACCGTGAAGGCGGAGGTCGACCAGTAGGCCGGTCAACCTGGGCGCTGTGCGGCAGGTGACGGAAGAGGGGAGAGTGGGGGAGATGACACACGCTGTGAACAGAGGGACAGCCATGTTCAGGCTGCCACAAACCCACAGGGCAGCTCAGGGAATCGGAGAAAGGCACAGATGCAGCCCAGTGGATGTCCAGCTAAATGTGAGGAACACAGGCTGGATGTCGTTGTCCCATATGCCTGCTCCTTGGGTTGTCCTGTGCAAGGCACAGCGTGTCACAACAGAACCTGTGCCGCCCCACACAGGTGGAGTCAACACAGGGTTGAGTGGAAGGGCAGATCTGGGGTTTACCCGAGTGGCCCAGGCCAGCCCTTCACCTGCTGAACCCAGAACTGTCTTGGGGCCTAGGGTGGACCAGGATGGAATCTTTTGCCTACCTCACTGGGTTGCACTGAACATGGGAGGCCTCCCCACCCACCTTCAGACAGGAGACACCAGCCAGGTCCACCATAAAGACTCTGGAATCCCATCACCTCAAGCCAGAGGGTCCCCGAGTCATAGCCTAGAGCACTTGAGCCTGACTGACCACAAGGATCTTGACTCTGAGAGCTGCTAACCCTGGTCGCATGATGGCCCCTCCTTAACCCACCAGACTCCTCTTCTGAGGCAACTGAAAATCCAGACAGCAGACAGCCACCTAACATCCCAGTCCTTGAGCTTTAGTCTCAGAGCCCACACTCCACACCCAGGTCTACAAAACAGCCTCAGGTTTCTCTCTCTTCACTCCCAGTGTGAAGCCAACAGCTTACTGCCTGGCCCCAGGCTTCCCCAAGAAAGGGTCAGCGGGTGATGACGGTGTGGATGGCGGGCGGTGTGGATGGCCGGCGCGTGGTGGGTGTGAATGAGAGTGGGGGTGGGAAGCCTCCAGTTCTGTTCCTATTAAAGGGCTTTCTGAGGGGTTGCTCTATATCGGTCTTGTGTGGGGGTTTTCTGCGCTGAGGGGTGGGGGGTTGAGGGGCTACACTATGGTGTTGCTACCAACTGGGGATTGCAATGGACCTTTCTCCAAACCTCTTTAGAAAGAGGGTGGACAGGTCTGACTATTCAGAGACGGGATGTGGTTCAGCTATGGGAATGGGGGCCAGGGACAGTTGGCAAAATGAAGGGGCTCCTGTGATCGGTATGCTCATTGACGGAGACCCGGGATTTGCACACATTCTTGCTCACCCAACACTCCGCATGAGATGTGAGATATCCCAAAGACAAGTCATAACATGAACAGAATTCTGTTTCCCTCAAAGAAACGCCCATGTTTCCTATATCCTGAAACCTGAGCTAGAAACCTGGATAGGTCCCTTAAGCCTTCACCCCTCATCCACTTATCTAATCCCTCATCAATTTCCTGCTACTGAGCCAGTGAAATATCTTTGGAGCCTGGACCCTCCTCTTCACCATCACTACTCTTGTAGACCAAGCCAACAAGGCCTCGCCTTGGGATAATCACACAGCAGCCCAGCCTCCAGGCCTTGCCTCCTTTCCCCATCCCACAGTCACGTGTATCCTTCAAACCCACAGATCCCACCTGGTCACCAACCCACAGCCCCTTGTGGCTTTGAGAAGGGATTGTGAACATGAATGCCAGTAAGGGCTGGGTGGCAGTGTGAATTAAATGAGGGAGGTGGCGGGTTCAAGGGGAAATACAGCACACTCAAGGTGAAATGTGGAGGCTGACACTTGGGCTCAGAGTTGGGATTGGGGGGATGGTGGAAACTGGGGAATGTGGGCCCCATCTGAATAGCTACTGAGCTCGGAAGAAGAAGACTGGGTTGACAGTGTCTTAATTTTTCAGCAGTTCCAATAGTTCATATTATGTAAAATGTCCTTTCAAATGTTGACAACGAAGTCCAAGTTTTTTGTTGTTTTTTAATGCGTGGGCTAATGAAAATGTGTCAAGGACTTGGATCCAGCCTGGCGGCAGCCAGCTCCCAGCCTCTGGAGTCACCCAAGCTCCACCATTTGTAATTCAAAGCCCTTCAGGATCCAGCTTCCCACACACCACCCCTTCCATCCATTCTAATCTACCTGAAACTCTCCAGAATGAATAGCTAGGTTTAGCCAGACTCACTAAACCCTCGGCCAGGAATCCTTTGCCCACTTTGCATGCTCAGCAATCACTTTCTCCTCCAGGAAGCTGGTCCTTGCCCCCCACCCCCCTTCTGATGACTCCTCCTTGCTCCCCCAGCCCATGTCTTTTACAGTGTGCTGTTCACATCTGTGACTTTCAAGCCCTGGGACACGGGCACACTGGGTCTTTGGCATTAAGGCATGGTGGCCACACTGGGTGGCCACCTTCAGGTGTATTGGGTTGCGGGGAGTCCAACTGGACTCGCCCAGGCAGGCAGCACCCTGAGCCAGCTTTGTCTTCAGTTTCATATTGAAGCAGTGAGACTGCAACCCCAGCTCTAGCCTGGACCTGCCAGGTGTCCTCGAACCCTTCCTTCTCCAGGACCTCAGCCTACCCTTCTGACAAACGGGGTAATACTGCACATCACAGGGCGTGTCTCTCACTGTTCTGAGGGCCCAAAGGAGGGCTGTGAAAGGGCTTTTGGAACACCTCCAAATTACCCTGGGGGGCATGCACTGGGAGTAAGCTGTACCAGAACCACGAGGCCAGAATATACAGTGGCCAACCAGGACATCTGTGCCACCTCACTCAGGGGCAAGGAGGGAGTCCAGTTCATGCTTCCCAGTGCCCAGTGAAGGGTCTGGAAGACAGGGGTCTTTGGGAAATGTTGGCCGTGAACAAATGCAGACCGCACCTTGAAGGGGAAGGAGTCTGGGCACGTTGTCAGTTCCTGAGAGCAGAGACTTACCTGTCTTGGATATGGTGATTACTCAGTAACTACCGGGGAGATGAGGAAAGGCAGAGGGTGTGGGGAATGGAAATCCCAGGGAAACAGGTGTTCTCACCCTCCCCTTTGCTAGCACTTAATCCCCTCGCTCCAGGAGGTAAGAAAGGACTCCACTGCCCTGGTGATGAGGTTTATTATCTCCGCTCTGTACAAGCCGCGTCTGCCACCCCGCCCCCCACCCCACAATCCAAGAGCACCCAGGCCCCTTTGTGCCCTCCCAACTCTGCTCATATCCCACTGTCCAGCTGGAAACCAAAGGAAGGGAAGGGCAGTTCATGCCCATCTCCACCGAAGCTTACGGGGGACAGAACGCTGCTGGGGTAGGGGCTGACGGGGTTTACAAAACTGGTTGCACGGAGGATCAGGTTCAAGGTTGGATGGGATGAAAGGATGGCCAGAGGGGTCCAGGTTGGGAGTGATTCAGCCTTGAGTTTGTACAGCACAGGCCTGGAAGGAGGCTAGTCTGTCAAGGGGTGGAGGGGAAAACAGCAAGGAGGGGGCAGAGTCTGACTTGCAGCCCAGGAGGGGCGAGTCCGGAAGGGGACATCTGAGTGGAGTGCCATATGGGAAGCCTCCCTGGTTAGGCCTCCTTTCCTGCCAAGGTGCCAGCCCCTGCTCCAGGCCCCGCAAGGCCCTCGGCCTTATGTGCCAGGCGGTGCTTTTTGAGGCCGTAGGTGTTGGAGAAACCCTCCCCGCACGAGGAGCAGCGGAAGGGCCGGCCACCCTGGTGGGCCGCCAGGTGCTTGCGGAAATAGCCGGGATCCTTGAAGGCCTTGAGGCAGGCGGGGCAGCGGAGCTCGGGCCGCGGCGGCTCGTGGGCACGCTGGTGGCGCAGCACAGAGCTCAGGTAGAAGAAGCCCTTACCACAGTGCTCGCAACGGTAGGCCCGCTCGCCCAGGTGCAGCCGCTGGTGCTCCAGCAGGTTGGAGCGGTAGCGGAAGGTCTTTCCGCAGGCTCCGCAGCGCTGGGGCCGGGCCACTGCGTGCAGCCGCCGGTGCTCCGCCAGGCTGGACGACTGCGCGAAGCGCTTGGCGCACACGCCACATTTGAAGGCCCGCTCGCCCGTGTGCACCACTCGGTGCTGCCGCAAGTACCAGGAGCGCAGGAAGCCTCGGCCACACACGCCACACCGGTAGGGCCGCTGCTCCGTGTGGCAGCGCTGGTGGCGCATCAGCAGGGCCGCCTCCCAGAAGCGCTTGCCACACACAGGGCAGCGGAAGCCCCGCTTCTGCCGGTGGCTGCGCCGGTGCAGGAGCAGGTCATAGGCGCCCGCGAAGCTCTGGCCACAGAGGCCGCAGCCCAGGGTCCGCCGCACCAGGTGCACGTACTTGTGAGTGACCAGGCCCAGGAAGTGCTTGAAGCTCTGGCCGCAAGTGGCACAGCTGAAGCGCTCGGGGCCTGAGCTGGCGCCTCCACTGCCCCCAGCTCCTGCAGTGCTGTTGGTATCATCGCCCCCGGACACCCCTGCCAGCGCCGCTACGGCTGCCCCCACCTCCCCTGCCAGTCCGTTGTCCAGCATGCTAGCCGCCTCCACCGCGCCACCAGAGCCATCCGGGGGCTGCTGGCCATTGGGTGCGGGCGGGAGCAAGCGCTCCGGGGCAGCCTGGTGGACCAGTTTGTGCCACATGAGGTTCTCAATGAAGCCGAAGGTCTTGCCACAGGCATCGCAACCATAGGGCTTCTCCGTCATGTGGGCCTCTTTGTGGCTCATGACATGGAAGAGATCCGGGAAGTGCTCGCCGCAGTCCGAGCAGGCGTAGCTCAGGCCCTCTGCAGCCCCTGCGGCCCCAGTCGAGGAGCCCGGACCACAGGCCCCTGGCGCGCCCTGGGTTGTTGGGAGGCCGGTGGCTCCGGCCAGGGCACAGGGCAGCTGCAGCCGGTGTACTTGGCGGTGGCGCGTCAGGCTCTGTGGGTAGCCAAAGACCTTGCCGCAGAGCTCGCACTTGTAGGGGCGCTCCCGGGTGTGCACCACGTGGTGCTTGCTCAGGTGGAAGGACTCACGGAAGCGCTTCCCGCACACCGGGCACTGGTGTGGCTTCTCGCCAGTGTGGATACGCTCGTGGCGCTTCAGCGTCTCGCGGCGCCCAAAGCCACGCCCACAGATGCCACAGCAAAATGTCTTTCCGGGGCCGCTGGCACCCGTGCTACCTGCCCCACTGGTCCCTGTGCCAAGCAGCAGAGGGTGCGCGCCCAGCAGCGGCATTGGCACGGCCCCATACACCACGGCCGCTGCGGCTGCGGCTGCCTTCTCACTGTCCGTGGCGGGGGCGTCGGGTGGCAGTAGGTAGGGACCCGGAGGAAAGGCAGGCGCGGGCTGCGAAACAGTAGCTGCGGCATCCTTAGGTGCATCAGGGGCTGCGGGCGGTGCGTGCGCGGCCTTGTGGCGGAGCAGACTCTGTGGTGCCGAATAGGACTTGCCGCACAGGTCGCAGGGGTACATGGGCCGGGGCCCTGCTGCGCCCGCGTGCGCCGCCTGATGCTTGAGCAGGTAGGCGGCGTCACGAAAGGCCTTGCCGCAGACCCCGCAGGGTAGGCGAAGCAGGTCAGCAGAGTGCGTCTTCACGTGGCGCTTGAGGCTCTCCCTGCGGTTGAAGCTCTTGCTGCACACGGAGCAGGAGAAGGGCTTCTCTCCCGTGTGGATGATCTGGTGCTGGTGCAGGTGGCTGGGCTTCTTGAAGACCTTCCAGCAGAGTGGACAGGCGAAGGGGCCCTCGCCGCTACCTGCAGCTGGAGGGGGAGCCCCCACACTTGCTGGTGGTGCACCCCCACCCGGGGCTGCATTTCCGTCCACAGAGGCAGCGGGGGCGGCCGGCGTGGACGGAGGGCCAGCAGGGACCGAGGTGGGGGCACCGGCAGCAGGGGGAGCAGCAGGCAGTCCCAACGGCGGGAGGGTCGCACCTGGTTGTGGTGGGGCCCCAGCGGCGGGCGGAGCGTCCTTGTGGCAGCGGCGGTGGCGGATGAGGCTGGAGACGTGGTTGTAGGTGCGGCCACAGACGCCGCACTCGTAGGGCCTCTCCCCCGAGTGCACCAGCATGTGCTGGACCAGGTGTGAGGACTGCTTGAAGGACTTTTGGCACACGCCACACGGAAAGCGCCGCTCCATCAGGTACTTCAGCCGACGGAAGTAGCCCTTGTCGTCCTTGGTGGGGTCGCAGGCCGCCCCCGCGACGGGTCCCGGCGGGGTCTGCGAGGGGGCAGGGAGC